CTGGCTGAGGATGGTAGCCACTGTGAACTTGCTAGTCTCTAGATGCATGTGTGGTGTGGTCACAGGGCTCTTTCACCACTGTTGGGAATTCTGAAGCATTTCTGGAAGGTTTAGCCTCATGTTTGTGCTAGCAGAACAGGACAGACATCGATGCTATGGGGGGAGAGGATAAACTATTGGGAGTGCAGCCTCTAGTGTAGACTCTGGCTGTCCTTGGACCATCTGAAAGCTCGAGGGGCTTCTCCTCCGAAGGCAGTGAGTGCAGAAGCAAGTACAAGTACGGGGAGGGGTGGGCCTTGTCTTGAGGACTAGGGGATTGATGTGAAAAACTGGAGGGCCTGTGGACTTGCACAAGGCACATCTCCGCTGGCTCCCACCTTCTCCAGGAAACCTTCTCAGAGTCAGGCTCTGCCAACATGCACGGGATGTGGGATGCAGGGTCTGGAAGGAACCTAACACCTCACTTCTTGTGGGTCCCTGGCTGCACAGATGGAGTGGGAAAGACCCCGAGAAGACTATGGGAATATCTCAGAAGGCAAGCTGTTTCCATGACACCAAGCTGTTTCCCTTTCCCACCCTCAAGGCTTGGACTCAACTCTTGTGGCTGACTTTTCTCACTGAACCTCTTTCTTACCATTTGCTGCCTCTTCCTCGACCCCCGAAACTCTGATTAGCATTAAGCCTCTGCTTCTTGCCTCAGCCTGTGTGGTTTGCTCAATGAGACCTAGGACTCTCTTTCTAGTGAGTTCTAGGGCCTTTTATTTATTACTGTAGTCTTACCTTCCAAAAGGTGGGTACAATATTGCCAGAGCCCCTCATTCTTACCATGGGGACAGAAGACTTAGAGTCTGGATCAAACTTTGCTTGGGGTAACATAGGAATATATGGCACTTCTGTTTACATACCTCAGGGTCACCTCATCCATCCATCCATCCATCCATCCATCCATCCATCCATCCATCCAACCATCCAGTAAAGATGAGCATCTTCTAAATTCCAGGAGTTCAATTTGAACTAGGAGATGACAGTGTGTGGTGTGAGCAGAGTGTAAAGATGAAGTTCCAGGACATTGTGGGAACTTACAATAGAGGACTCAAGCAGCTGGATGATGTTTTGGGGAGCTTAGCCACAAGGAAGGGTTATATCACCTTCATCTCAGTAGAACTCTGAGGCTCTCTTGCTTCTGCGTGCACATCTACTTATCTGTCTGCAAAATGGTACTGAAGGAATATCCTGTCCTTACAGGAAACCCTGAGTATGGGGGTTGTATTAGTAGATTGTCAAACAGAACAATGTACCTTCTACAGGAAGTGCTGATTCATTCATTCATTCATTCATTCATTCATTCATTTTTGGTGGTGCTGGATTAATGCTGGGCAAATGCTTTTTTATCTTTGCAATGCAGTTGACTTTAACTAAAGTGTTCTCACGACTCAGTATGGTGGGCGTAAATCTCTCCTTTCCTTTCCATCAAATTTAAGTCTTTATCACTAGTATGTTCTTGCCTTGGGCCCATAAGTGTGGTTCTGAATGCCCTTCATCAGCCTAAAGGCTGAGTGTCCTGGATGATCCAACACTCAGAGCAATGGACTTGTGTCTCTGACTCTGCCGCCTTCTTTTTGTCTGGACTTTGCTTCCTGTGGGGCAGTTGGTGGCTGCCCTGGAAGGCACACACAGGCTCTGCAAGGCTCCCGGCCACTCCCAAGTCTCCAAGAGTAACTGCAAAAACCACACTGGAATGCTAAAATGCTGTGACCCTAGTGAGCCAGGATATGGCAGCCAGGCAATTAGACAAACAGGATACTGGGGTTCAAATATCGTGGGGTGTCAGAAGTTTGCATTTTATTCAGACTATAGTGTGCTATGGTCATAGAAATGGATAACTTCCAACTCCAATTTGGAGTTGGAGGGGCCCTAGAAGTTACCTTCCTTCCCCCCACTCCAACCTGCTGGTGACTCATGCTCCCAGCTCAACTCTTTCAGTTCCTAAATCACACAGTTTATTATTGAAAACAAGATGGCTAAACAAATGATCATCCCAAGAAAATCTATTTCCCTAGAATGAAGGATAAAATCACCATTTCTTCCTAGTCTCTCTCATTCACAAGATGCCCTGGGACTGAATGGGATAAACTTAATTCTGTATTATTTGGTTCACCATGACTTTGTACAAAATCTGCCAGGTGCTAGCAATTTTGAGACTGTGGGCCTTGTCTTGATATTGTTCACATGCATGGGGAGGTCACAGAGCAGGGCAAGTGTGCAGGTAAAATCAGGAGGCCACAGGGTACAGTATTCATCTTTAAATCCTAGCTGTTGGGTGTTGCTAGAGAAACCACTTGCAACTCCATAGGCTTATGGGCTTTCATTTCTAGCAGAGAGAGCAAGTACCTGGCAGGCACCTGCTTGAGTCCTGGTTCTCAGCAGCAGACATTATAGACCACACAGGGCTCTTCTTTGCTGGGTTCTGGTGTGTGTGTGTGTGTGTGTGTGTGTGTGTGTGTGTGTGTGTGTGTGTGTGTGTGTGTGTTGAATAGCACCATGCTTCCTGTCCTGGTAAAGTTCGTGATCAGTCTCTCTTGAATTCATGTCAAATGCTTGCCCCTCTTCAAATCAAGAGCCCTTTGTCTTCCTTCTCAACTTCACCTTCCAGCAGAAAGATCAGGTCTGGTTAGAAGCCATCAGCCATGTGCTCAGACACACTTTAGGTGAGGAGAAACCCTTTTCTGCCTGGAGCTCAACTTTCTCCTCTTGCTGCAATTCCTTCCTCTTTCTATACCAGCAGCCTCAGCCATCTCACTTCGGTAATGAGGCTTTAAAAGTGCCACAAAAGTTGCCTTGAACTTGGCAGCAACCCTCCCCTCATTTCTTTTATTATGCCAAACTATTTCCCATAGATAAGCAATGTGAGTGGATGTGGGGCTAAACAGTTACCAGTTTTTAGTGTTGCCTAGTAAGGACTTTGAGACCCTTTTCTGCATCTATCTCCATCAGTTTTCTGCAGGATGATTGAATTGGAAAAGGTGCTTGAGTGGATCATTGTGCCCTGTGGCTTGGGAAGTCACATGATGGTCCATTTTTTGCTTCTTCAGGCTCTCAGGTTCCTTAGCTACAGGAGAGAGCTGGTGTTAAAAGACAATTGGTCTCTGGGTAACCTTATACTGTCATCCTGGATCCATTCTGGAGGGGCATCCTGCCTTCTCACTGACCTCCATCAGTGATTGTGCTTTCTAGAGGATCCTGCAAGTCTGAGGAACTAGGGAGCTAGGTGACTCCAGTGGCTGCCCTTTTGTAGTCAGCTAAGGCCATGGAGTGCAGAATCACTGCTCAGAGGCAGCTGTGTGGTGTGAGGAGAGGTGCTGGCCGGGGTGGGGGGTTTCCTTGTACACGTCCTTACAGCCACCTGCCTCACACAAGGCTCCATGCAAAAGGGAGAGTGGTCCTCCTATCTCTATGTATTAGTCTGGGTTCTGTTCCTATAGGTTCCTCCAGGAAGCCCTTCTGAGACCCCACCTGTCTCCTTCACCTATGCCAGAATCCTAGACAGCCTGTAATCTGAGACAGTTCAAGCCAAAGCCAGCCCCTCCTGTCTAAACATGGTAAACTGAGGTTGTAAGAGACAAGACGACTTGCTGGAGGCCACAGTGGGCCATAGCAGAGCCAGTGTGAATCCAGAGCTCTTTGTGTGCAGCTTCTGTGGCTTTAATGAGCTGTCTTCAAAGGGCCTACATCCATGACTGAGCTCCTCCCACAAACCTCTCTGCAATGAGGTTCAGAAGGGAAAAGAACAGCCTGAATAAATACACCCTGTTTCTTGCCCTCGACATACTTGGAGCTGGATGGGTATAGGAGAGACACAGACACAGACAGTAGATAGCCCCATTACAAAGGTCAGGATGTCCAAAGGGGACCTTGTGGATTGGACTGACTCCTTGGCCTGGAGAGTAAAGGTCACATAAACAGAGGGCAATGCAGCAGACTGATGAAGACACAAGCTGACATCTTGATTGTTTGAGACAACATCTCACTACATAGCTCTGGCTGGCCTTGAACTATCTACATAGACCAGTCTGGCCTCAGAGATCTGCCTGCCTCTGTCTCCAGAGTGTTTGGATAATGCGTGTACAACATCACAACTAGCAGCAATCTATCTTTCAATTCTCATACAACACAGATGGATCTCCAAGATTCAAGTAACAAGAAGTAAATGGTTATCATAAATCACTGAGCAAAAGTTGACTAACAAAGAACTCAAATTCAATATCCCAGCTCCAAAGTAACTACTGCAGAGACAGCCACAGAGAAAAGCAGAAAGGGCGAGGGGGAGCAGAGGAGAAATTGAGACCCCAAGGATCCATGTGTAGCCATCTTTAGTTCCTTCTGCAGGAGAAGAAAGATCCCCAGGAACATTTGGTGCATGCCTCGTGTTGCCATTGTGATGCTTAAGTTCATTATAACGGTGGTGATAATGATGATTTGTAGTTGCCATTCTGGATCCCCATTACACAGCAGGTTATTCAAATGTCACACATCCTTAAAACTACTCTACAACATAGAAACATTTAATTCATCAAACATCTACTGCTATCCTTCCCATTAAAGTAGAGAAAATTGGAGCCTTGCAAAAGTACCAGCTAGGGTGATAATGACACATGGCCTGGTTGAAGTTGGAGTCAGAACTATGGGCTGTCAAAGTCCATCTCCCTCACCCCTGAGGCCACAGGGCCCTTATTATTAGTCCTGGTTCTAAGTTGAGTGTGTCCAGGTTGGGTTGGGCACCAGAGAATTGTTTTGGGCTCTTACAATCCACCTGGCACTTGAAGAGGCTGTAAGAGTTGGCAGGGGCTGTTCCCCTTGCCAAGGAAGATGCTATGAGAGAATACTTAGTCAGAAGCTGCGGAAGTGCTAGGGTCCTAGCTCTGCTACTGGCTACCATGTAGCTTTCCTGCCCTCTTCTGGGCCTCAGCTTTTCCCTTGATAAGAGGAGGTTGGGGCCAAACCTGCTCCAAAGGCAAAGAAGCAGATCTTGTCCTGGTTCTCCTGCAGCAGCGCCATGACTCTCTTCCCCATGCGCTCATTCCTCTTGTAGATGAGCTCCTGGCGGAAGTAGCTGTCAATCTCCTGGGCTGTCACCTGCTCATGAGGTGGGAGGGTGGTGTTGATGAAATTGGGTAGCTGCAATGGTAAGAGAAGCCGCCTTTAGGTCTTGATGGAGCAGGGCATGTGTCAGATAAACGCACAGTCCAGGTAGGACTGGCAACTCACCTTCCTGAGGCCCTACAGCAGGCTCTGTTTTTCCCATTTCATCAACCCTCAAACCCTCAAAGATAAGTATTGTTCTGTTTGTTCATGTGAAGCACCAAGAGGGTGTAGGTGACAGGTGTGGCAAGAAGACTGGAGAGCTTGGGGGTTAGGGAAACATGGGCCTTGGCTTAAATTCTGATGCTAGGTATACTGAACAAGCTACTCCACTTTGCAGAGTCCTGGCTTTCATTTATAGGAAGGACTTATGTGACGGGAGGGACTAAATGAGATGACAGGTGCTGTTGTGGCTGCAGTTTGCCCTCTGCTCCACAGAGTTGAGCAGGGCAGTACTTTGGGCTTTTCCCATGTCTGAGCTGCTATCTGCCCATCTGGCTTCACACTTTCAGACCTTTGTCTTTTCTTGAAAACTACTCCAAGACTACTAATCCTTCCAGCCTGATGCTTGTGGGATAAGCTGCCTAGGGCTTGTCCATCCATACAGTTCTGGGTCCTTTACCCTCACTCCTCTCCACATCCAGCTTTGCTGATGTGCTTTTGAACTAATCAGAGGGATCCCTGAGTTCAAGGACTAAGTTATGTCATTCTAAGTCCTCAGGCCCTGCTACAAGGAAGATGCCTATCAGGAGTCAAATCTTGACTATAAGATTACACTACTTCTGGATTTCTGTGTTCTTATCATTTTACCTGTCTGGCCTGGATGGTAGATTCAGGCTTTGTAGTACCATCTCCTCCACCATATGCATGGGGGTGCTGCTGGAACTAAGGTTATGAATTAGAACACACTGTTTTTCTTCTCAATCCACCAATGATCAAAATATCTTCCAAGCTGTTGCTCACAGAACATCTTTCATTTCTTATTGTCTTCTACCCAAGCCCAAAGCACACAATAACATCCTGACTGGAAGACGAGGGGAGACTGTGCCTGAAGATACCAACTTCCTAGAGATCTCAGTTCTTCAGAAGAGCCAATTATTAGCCTAGTCACATGGCTTTTTTTTTTTTTTTTTTTTTTTTTTTTTTTACAGCTACTTTTGAGTTGTCACCATCCTTTCTGGAGAATATGGGGGAGTCAACAACTACTGAATCTGCCTCTGTTCTGTTGGCCAAGGACTAGTGGATGAATGGGTGGTAAGAGCACCTGTACCATACAGCTCCTTTGTCAGAGAGGCCAGACTCACTGCTCTGGGATGAATATGGAAACAATGTGATTGTCTCAACATGAGCAGTGACCAGTGTGTACAATGTATGCAGCAGTCCTGCTCCTGCCTAGGCCCGTACCGGGCTGGCACACAGAGACTGCATGTTTGGCAGACCAACAAGTGAAGGAACTGTGCTCTTACCCTCCTCCACACTGGAAGGGATGACTGGCAGCCCCAATGACATAGGCCACACTTGCCTTGGTGCAGTTACAGAAGACGCTAAAGATTAGCAGGAGTCAGGGTGGAGAACAGAGAGACCATGGCTAGAAGGGCTGTTTCTGGAAACATGTCTCTCAAAGGCCTCTCCCTGTTTATGGGGTATGGGAGAGGAAAGGAAGCCATGCTTTACTACACATAAGTGTTTGTTTAGTCAGTGAGCAAGTGGCAGGATGAGCAGACTGAGTGGCAGTTGAGGAAAAGTGATGGTAAGTACAGGCCCTGCGGTCACCCAGCCAGGGCAGCTTGGGTGGCCAGCCCTCCTTCATTGCCTGGTGCTCACCAGGTTATGGTCTCTCTGAGTCTCACATTCCTCACTGGTAACAGGGTGACATACATGGCTTATTGCATGGATTCAACAAGGCCAGCTTTGGAAGATGCTAGCACAGTAAGGCACTGTGAAAATATTGAGGTGTACACCTCACTTTGCATTGCCACCTTCCCATACGATGTCACAGGTTACTAGAGAGGGGTGGCCTCCAGAGATGACAGATGGTCATTAGAACCACCAGAGAGATGTGAAGACAGAGGTCTGATTCCCCCCTTCTCCCATGGATTATGGGGCCTATGGGCATATGTCATTCCTTCTACACTTTCTGCCCACAAGGTGCACCCAAAAAAATTCCCCAGGGGACTGAAGGTATTTACAAGGACAAGGAAAAGAGTAAGATTTCAAGGTCATGAAGAAGTTGGTCATTCAGCTTTCCCTGGGCTTCCTAGTCACTAGCTAACACTCTCTGTGTGTCTCATTTGCTGAGAGGGCCTTGGCCCTATGCCAAGGATAGGGCCTGGGTTTGGGCCAGAGCTGGGGGAGAAGCAAATTAATGATGTCATTAGACTTGTCTGGGACCTTAAATCTCCCATGACAAGTTTAAGTGCAGGGCACATGATAACATTTTGAAGAGATCATGGAATGTCCCTAGAGCCTTAGAGAGACTGGTGTGTGATGGGGTGACAAGGAGATGGGCCGGACAGGACTGCGGTCAGGTTATGGGGGAGGATTCAGTGTAGGTCAAGTGCCTGGGTCTGTTGATGATGCTCAACCACCCACTTCCCTGTACCCATCTACTCAGTACACAACCTCTGAGGCTCTCCCTAGGTCCTGCCCTGTGTCAGGCTAGGGACCACTCCCGCACCCTCAGGCTGGGTCTGCTGTCTTTCATGACAGTACCAGCCCAGCCTGGTATGGGAGTCAGCCATGTTTGAAAGAATACTGTGAGAGGATGAGAGGGGAGCAGGACTCACAGAAGGTCCTTCTGTGGTCTGGTTTGTTCAGATCAGCCTAGGTTTGTGGGTGGAGGAGACTGCTACACTGCTGTCAACTATCTTGACTCTGAGTAATAATCTACTGTCAAAAGTACCTGGGTTTGGGTAAAACATATATGTGGCTACTGCCCCTCAGGGAGTGAGGGTCCCCGGGCTTCCCAGGCAGGACTTCTGTGTGGCCCTCCCATGATGGACACTAACAACATCAGTGAGCTGGAGTTGCAGAGACAGGACACAGTCATTGTTGAGGGTGGGGGAGGCGGAGTGCATACAGTTAGGGGGTAAGGAGCACCAGGCCTTAGGCACTGCACTTGTTCCAGCCTCCAGAGGCTATTTCATCACCCTCCCCACTGCAGCCAGAGGCATCTCTGATTGCAGTGCTCTCTGACTTACACTCCCGGGCACCCACTCTTTAGCTGCATTCCCACCCTACACTTGTTCTCTGCTGTGCAAACCATGCCCTCTGGAGAGACACCTGACAACCCCTCCTGTCAGCTGTCATTCTCACTGAGGATGCTCCACTAACAAGCTTAGTTCCTACTTGATGATTATCCCAAAGCCTTCCCGATGAGCCCTGAATCTCTAGATGCGCAGACCTTGAGGCTGAGAGGTCTCTGACTGCAGACGTGTTTCCCACATAGCAAGAACTTGTGACCCTGACAGTGTTGCATCTTGGGGCAGGTTTCCTGGGTACCCCATATGCAGTCTGGACTATGACTCAAATCTGGGTGGACCACTTGCTCTGTTGGGGGACATGGCTGCTGCCATCAGAGATCAGCAGTTCTTGTGGACAGAGGTTCAAAGGAAATCTAAACTGACCATTTCCCAACCTCACTGCATACCTCTCTAGCCTGGCTTAGAGTCAGCCACTGTCTACCCCTTCTTCCTTAGGGCAGCCACTTCATAGCCAATTATCCAACTTTCAACCAAGATCTCTTTGCTGTGGAATCTACACTCTCTGAACCTGGCCCTTAACAGATTCAGGGTGAGGCTCACCAAAAGTGGGGCTCTGGTGAGATTCCTATCTGCTCATGGTGTCAGGTTCCTCTCCTCCCCTGCCCCCCCCCATGAGACTAGAGTCTTCAGACCTGGAGCCTCCCACAGTAAGGGCTGGGTTCCTTCTTGCATTCTCTATGCTTCCCTAAGTACATGATGTACCTACAGTGTTGTGCGTGACAGTCACTCACTGGCAAGTACTGTGCACCAGGCGCCAAGGGGTCTCTCCAGAACCGTGGGGACCGAGGGATGAGCAGCTCATCCCTGCCCTCAGGGAGCCTGTGTCTGGGGGTTGGGTGGCAAGCACAGGCAGAACATTGTGGCCCCAGTCTGGCTGGCCTCCAACCAGAACTCTCCCCACTCCTCCTCCTCTGGGTCTCTGGTTCACTTGCACACTGTGCTCAATGCTGGAATATTCTTTCTTTGTCTGTGGCTAATGTATGTTCTTCTGTGGCCCTTTTATTTTACAGGAATCTTTTGTTATTGCCCCGATCATCTCTAAAGCCAGGGCCCCTCTATGAGGCAGTGATTTCCTGGGTCTCTCAGACTCCTCATGAGAGTTGCCTTCTCTGGCTCCCCACAGCATCCCTTTGTGCACTGCCCTATCACACTGACAGACTTTTTCATTTATTTGGCAAATATTTACAGAGTCCTACTTCAGGCTGGGGACTTCTCTCACCAGAGGGGACAAATGAATTAATGTCAGACCCAAATCCTGCCCTCATGGAGCTTGTGTTCCAGTGGGAAGGGCTGGATAGTAAGCAGTCACCACTAATGAAGGACTGAGTGTATCTATTATGTGTTGGAGGGCCTTCCAGACCACCGTGGGAGCAAAGTGGGGCACAATAAAGTAGTGACAGTTGGTTTATTTTTGGTGGGAGGGGGGCTCATGCTACAGTTCAGACAGAGTAGGATGGGGCTAGTCATATGGAGCTGGTGATGCCTGAAGATGGAGAGGGAATACATTATGGTGACACCTTGGAGAAGTGTCTATCTATGCTGAGGCAATAGGCAGTGAAAAGGCAGAAGCACGCAATGGGTTCTTGAGATGATGTGGTAGACTGTGATGCTGGCGTGTAGATAGGAGATGGGGTCAGGAGCAGCGGCAGAGCAGGAGGAGCACACAGACTGCTGCAGAGACTGGCTTTCACCCTGAGAAAATGGGGGCTGTAGTCAGGTCCAGAACAGGGATATGGCCTCCTTTGCCTAGTCCAAGCTTTCTGAGTGGATGGACATCCAAATACCACAGCAGAGGAAACCCTGGGGGGAAACTGTATGGTACCTGATGGGGGATACCTGATTCCATCCAGGGGACTGGGGTGTTTTCTCAGAGTAGATAACGTTGAACCATGATCAAGTTGGGGGAATCCAAGGGAAGAAGAGCCTGGACAAAGGCTCAAAAGTACTAAGGGGCAAGCTATGAATTCCATAGCCTGGGGTTGGGGGATATGGACTGTGACAAAGCAACCAGAGGGCAGGTCTTAGAGGACCATTGAGTGCTGGATAGAGTGTCTTGGAATTTATTGGAGGTCAATGAGGAGGCATGGTGAAATGTTGGCAAGGTCAAGCCAAACTCAACCATTTTGGGGCACTACTCAGGGTCTTGCTAGCCTGTTTGTGATCTCTGCTCTAGGATCTGTATCAAAGTAGGTCCTGAGACTGAGACAGATTCAAGGCCAAGCTCACAGTAACTAGGTTTTCCCTTCTGTGGACCTTCTGGTTCAAGTTGCTGTTCTTCATGTTTTAACAGCAATAAGCTGGGCAGCCTTGAGCAAGTAAGTCTGCTTTCTTCTCTGAGCTGTAGTTCCTCCTCTATAATGGAGATGACAGTAGCTCCTACTTATCATAGCTGGTGAGAAGCCAGTCTATGCTCACTATACAGTAGGTATCTGATAAATGCCAGATGTGATCATATGGGCCTAGCTCCAGGTCTTCATACAGATGGTGATGCAGTGGTCGTCAGGGCAGGAAGAGAGGAGGGCCTCACCTGGGATGTGTCATGGTTGAAGATGACTGCATTGAGGTCCCCACAGTTGTAATGTTTGATGAGGTCCTCTGTGGTGTAGGGTGCCTGCAGGCTCCCAGCCCGCACACTTTCATGCTGCAGCAGAGTCTGGTTCAGGGCAAACAGCACCTGGCCGAAGGAAAGAGAAGGACATCAGGGATGTGCTCAAAGACTGGTTGGCCACTGGGAGTGAATCTCCACCCTCTGGATGTTGGAGCTATAGGCATAGAACAGAAGGTGTATGACATGGCAAACCATCTGAGTTTGGAGTTTGGGGAGAGTCTTCCTCTTAACTCCTTTGTTCTGCTTTGCTTAAAGTACTCAAGAATAAGAAAAACCCATTTTGTAGTCAAGAGCATCCCCAAATGCAGTCAGGACAATGAACAATAGAAATCAAAGCTCAGCTCTGTGTCCAGCCCAGCGACCTCAGGAGCAGGATCCTTGGAGCCCACCTTCCCATGTGTTCAGCAGATGTACCCTCTATCTCCTCTGTTCTCTGGGCCACTGGCTCTAGGGATGCAGTTTCCAGACACCAGGGTCACTTAGAGTAAGTATAGAGCCCCCACTTCAGAATGTTTCCCATGTTTCCCAGGCTCCCAGGAACTCTCTAAGCAGCTTATGGCATTTGAAGCTCATGGCTCCCACAGACCCTGAAAGATTACCTGTTTCAGCCTTCCCATTTTGTTTACTTGAGACAGGTTCTCTTTATGTAGACTCAGCTTCCTTGAACTCACAGTCTTCCTGTCTTACCTCTCAAGTGCTGGCATTATAGGCAAAGACCACAATACCTAGCCAGCGACCCAATTTTAGGTGGGCAAACAGGCCCTGAGCATGGAAGGCACTTTACCCACTGGCTTGAGCTGGAGTCTATATCACAAAATCTGGTATCCCAGACTTTTTTTTTTTTTTGTGCCAACCAAGGGACTTTTTTGATCCTATTCATTCTGATGCTGGACCTGCTTCAGCCAATGGGGCAATGGCAGTAAACATTATACAGGAAGGCCTGAAAAGCACCTGGGGGCTGTGGCTGACCACTCTTCATTACTCTTTGCCTTTGACTCCACTCTGATGGAGGGTGAGAGACACACAGTGCTAAACTTACACAGCCAGTGACACTCAGACCAGAGGACAGATAGCCAATTTCTAGACATGTGAGACCACCAAGATCAGTGGAGCCTATAAGCTCCAGGTCTAGGCTACCTGAGCTCTGCATGTTCTTGTTACACAGCATGATCTCAGTGACAGATGACTGATGGACCACGCTTCCTTCCACCAATGGGAGCATATCAGCTTTTCATTGTGTTTAACTGAAGCCTTGCAGTAGGCTGAGTTTCCTGAAGTCAGGAAGTGTATCTTCCTGGCTCTTGAATCTGCAACTTTCAGTACTCTGCCTAGGGAAGAGAGGGCAGTGTGATCTCTTTAGGACCTGGGGACCTGGGCTTCCCTTCCTAGTTAAAGATGCCTTATAAGAACTTATGGAAAACATCTAGAATGCTGGCAGACATTCCTACCAAGACATGTAATCTGAATAAAAAGCTTTTGAAATAGGTGTACAGGGCCAGGTCAACATGGTGATAAGGCCATGCTTGTGTTCCCTCCTTGTTTGTTAATGGCAGGAGAATTGGATTGCACAAACTGTAGCATTCCCCATGGTTTCCTTTAATGAGAGGGCTGGAGGTGAGGTCAGCCCCCTCACCCCACAGGGGGCCCTTCTCCAGGCCCCTCGGCTTTGGCTGCCACCACTGAAATCAGATCTGAAGCCATCTGGTTCAGAGTGTCGATGGCAGTATGGTGGCTGGAGATGAATTACAGGAGGCAATGATGTTTTCTGCTGTGGACATTGCTAAGGCAACAACCACAGGGTGCATGCCTCCAATGAAAGTGTCCGTGTCGAGCTGATCCACTCTCCTCCACTGAGGGCCCAAGACAGAGGGACTTTCTGTGGCCACACCCAGCTGCTGCACACACCTGCTCTACCACTTCTTAGATCAGCCCACCTGACCTGGTGTGAGGTCATCTGCCTGGGTACCAGAAGACCTGGCTGGAGGGTAAATGTCTCCCCTGGATCTTGCTTGACTCACGAAGTCAGGTTTGCAGCGATGTGCCCTTCATGAAGCCGGGAGATATTCCAGGGGATTAAGTATATTCCTGGCTGTAGGGTGTTAAGAACAGTCCTGGCATGAAGTGAGTGCTGAGTATGTATGTGTTCGTTACATAAAACTTAGGAGGAAATATTACCAAATCTTCCCAGCTTGGTTCTGGGAGAGAGAGAGAGGTTCCCAAGAATTCATCTGGTGCAGAGGCTTCAAATTACATTTAGCTATAGAATTCTTTTGTTGTTACTGTTTCTTCCATAGGAATCTTACTTATAGTCTTGTACATGGAACAGATTAAAATAGTAAGGTCCTAGTTGATATGAGGGAGGATAGGCCTGGGGGATGTCCTTTTGCTTTGGGGATTTCCACAGGGACCCTGGAGCCCAGTTTAAGATATTCACTTTGTCAGCACCTGAGGCAATGACCACGCCCACTGGGAGTGGGGACAGGGGTGTTACCTGGGGGAACTAGGTCTGAGCAAGGGGCTCCTGGAGCTCTCTCTTGCTTGCAGCACAGGGACAGAACAGCATCCAGAGGCATCTTTGGGACTAGGAACCTGCTGGTGTTCATCTGTCTCTGTTGTAAGTTATTTCTCCTTGAATAAACATCTTTTTGGTCTATTTGTTTTTCCTGATTCTTATTAAACCACAATAGACCCCCTAAATCCCATTTTGTGCATTCATAGTGTAAAATAAGAGAGGGGACAGCATTCCAGGAGGGTAGGATGGGGTGCACATGAGTTCATACAGGGAGTTGGGCAGAGAGACTCCACCCAAGTGTCCTGACCCAGCCTTGGATCACAGGGCTGATGATGCAGGACCTTCTGGTGTCTACTGGCACAGCCACACCCACTGTTTCTCTGGAGTGCTGTAAAGCAGGCAGAGGTGTTTCCTGTTGGAGTGTTGCAGACAGGAATCAAGGGCCTGTCAGGCCACTCGAGAGTTTGAGAGCTCCCTGCATGTCTCAGCTAGTTTGTGACATTAACTGTATCCAGGTGGGATCTGGTACCTCCCACACACTCCCTGTACACAGACCACTTCAGAGGTGTGTGTCCTGTGGAATTGATTCAGTACTCTGTCTTTTTGTTCACTGCTGAACCCTAACATCACAAACATCAGATACTGAAGAATCATTACAAAAGGAAGGTGCTGCCACTGGAAGCCCCCCCCCCACTTCCTGCCCCATACCTACTCTTTGTAAGAGTCATCACCCATTCACACTAGGACCCCTGGTTTTACTGAGCACTTACTATGCATCATAAACTTCCTAAATGGATTCACCATTTAATCTTTAGAGAAACTCCCAGTTAAAATTAAGATGAAAAACCCTACAGCGAAGAGACATTAAACACCTTCGAGAGGTGAGAAGGCTGGTGACTTGTGAGATGGACATTTGACAGATATCCTTAGCCAGTTACCACTCACAGGGGCCTCCCTCTGCTCTGTTGAGGAGAGAAACAGCAGGGGTATACAGATGGGGGTAAAACAGAAGCAGAGGGAGTAGCAGTCTACACAGCTCAACAAAAAGAGCTGAGGTAGAATTCCAGATCACTATCTTACTGCAAGCAGGCCTGGAGGCACCGCATCCTCTTTTTTGTGAGCATTCTTGGTGCTTCCAACAAGCAGAGGGAAGCTATACCCCATCCCTTTCCCCCTCCCCCACCTTCCCTTCCCTCCTTCATCAAACAAAGCTTTCAGCAGCTTCTCAGCAGGGACTTGAATTTGATGGAGAAATATGACTTGTTTTCTAAGCACACGGAACTCATGGAGGAGGCAGACATGCCACTGACCTTCACGACAGGGTGACAGAGGCACAAGCTTTAGAATGAAGTACCACCCTGACTTCTGCTTCCCTCTCCTGCTCCCAGAATTCCCCAGGCCTCAAGGCATTCTACTCCAGGCCACCTTAGAACAACAAACGTCCCTCGGAAGGAGCCTCAGTGGCCCACACTAGGATAATGTTTATGATAAGGCTATGACAAGGAATAACAAACACTGGGTGAAGAGTAGAGGCCTCATTCCCCCAGATGCCTGTGTGGAGTCTTGGCCACTGGGAAACTGGTCACCAAGAAACCCTGTGCATCCTCTACTGCTCCCCTCACTAGAGCTCATGGGGCACAGGGTGGCCGGAGGCTTCTGTTGAGTGTACTTGAAATCTAAATAGCTCCTCAAACAAAAGACTAAGGTGGAGAGTGGCAGGCGCCAGGAAGTTAGAAACAGTCTTGTTGTTCCAGAACAATCCAGTAAATAGTCCTATACAGACAGACAAGAATGCTAGGTCTTAAGGCCTATACTCAGTTGGTCGCCCATGTCACCTGAAGGGAAGGTTTGGATTCAGGGCTCCTGGGACAGGCCTAGGTCTCATGTTGAGGGTCTAGGATAACCGGGAAGGACTTCTACCAAGACATGAGCCCAGAATAATGAAAGCTAAATCCTAAGCGGGTTGACAGTGTTCACTGAATACCTTCTAGGTGCCAGTGCACCAGGCAAGGTCAGCATACTCTCACACAGCATACCTGCTAGGTGTACACAGAAGGGACACTACCATGTAAAACTGCATAGAAGCCATACAGTGCCGATCCTGCAGATCTGGCATACTTCTGCAGCCACAGGCAAAGAGGGCAGAACAGCCAGTGCTGCTGGAAGCTGGACCCCGGACACCAAGAGAACTGGTGTACTCCCCACAGTGGGGGTGAAAAGGGTGTGTAGAACACAGAGTGTCTTTAGGTGACTCAGTGCTTAGAGTCAGTGGAAAAGGACAGCATGTGTGTACTCAGGCAGATCCTTGAATGAAGCCCAAGGATGGAGCTTTAGGTCCCAGCCAGGTTCCGAACCTCGGGAGCTGAGGCTCTTGCTGAAGCAAAGGGAGTGCAGAATGGATGCCAGAAGTGAAGGTGGGAAGTACAGAGACTACCATGTGTGGTCACTCACAAGAAATGGAGACTGTAATAGCTATAAACACTAACTTTTGACACAGCAGCTTGTGTAACCCAGGCTAGCCTTGTACTTACTATATAGCTGAACTTCCTTCCCC